CAGGAGTTGGAGGTTGCTGTGAGCTGTAATGCCACGGCACTCTACCCAGGGGGACAGCTTGAGGCTCTGTCTCAAAAAAAAAAAAAAGTCTAGAAATGAGAGATTTCTTTTTATTTTCTTTTTGAAACAGAGTCTCACTGTGTCGCCCTCAGTAGAGTGCCGTGATGTCACAGCTCACAGCAACCTCAAACTCTTGAGCTTAAGCTGTCTTCTTGCCTCAGCCCAAGTAGCTAGGACTACAAGTGCCTGTCACAGTGCCCAGCTATTTTTTTTGTATTATAGTTGTCATTGTTTAGCAGGCCCGGGTCAGCCTTGAGCCCTCCAGCCCCACTGTATGTGGCTGGCATGCCGGAACCACTAAGCTATGGGCACCAAGCCAGCACATGGCTATTTTTAGAGACTAGATCTCCCTCTTGCTCCTGAGCTCAGAAGATCCACCTGCCTCAGCCTCCCAAAGTTTAGGTAGGACTACAGGCATGAGCCACCTTGCCCAGCCCTACAAATGAGAAAATTTTTAAAGAGGTCTGAAACTAGCAGAATTAATTCTAGCCACAGACCTAGAATTTGGCCAGAAGACATTAGTTTGCTTAATCTTCTTTGTTGCCCCTGGAAGAGTGCTATGACCATCATAGCTCACAGCAACTTTAGCCTCTTAGGGCTTAAGTAATTTTCTTTCCTCAGCCTCCCCGAGTAGCTGGGACTACAGGTGTCTGCCACAGTGCCTGGCTATTTTTATTTCTTTCTTTATTTGTTTATTTGCGACAGAGTCTCACTCTGCAGCCCTCGGTAGGGTGCAGTGGCATCACAGCTCACAGAAACCTCAAACTCTTGGGCTTTAACAATTCTCTTACCTCAGCTTCCCAGATAGCTGAGACTACAGGCATCTGCTACAATGCAGGCTATTTTTTATTGTAGTTGTCATTGTTGTTTTAGTAGGCCCCAGGCTGGTTCAAGCCCACCAGCACCCATGAATATGGCCGGCGCCCTATTCACAGAGCTATGGGCACTGAGCCTGCCTGGCTATTTTTAGAGGCAGGTCTCACTTTTGCGGAGGCTGGTCTTGAACCTGTGAGCTCAGACAACAGACCTGTCTCCGCCTCCATCTCCCAGAGTGCTAGCATTAAAGGCATGAGCCACCACATCCAGCCTAGTTTACTTTATTTTTTTTTTTTTTTGAGACAGAAGCCTCAAGCTATCCTCCTGGGTAGAGTGCCATGGCATCTCAGCTCATAGCAACCTCCCACTCCTGGGCTCAAGCGAGTCTCCTGCCTCCGCCTCCCAAGTAGCTGGGACCACAGGCGCCTGCCACAACGCCCGGCTATTTTTTGGTTGCAGCCTTCATTGTTTGGCGGGCCTGGGCCCGATTCAAACCCGCCACCTTGGGTGTACGTGGCTGGCGCCTTAGCCACTTGAGCCACAGGCACCGAGCCAGCCTAGTTTACTTTAATCTTTGATAATTTAATTTTGTAAAAGATGAGGCAAGGTTTCACTATGTTTTCTCAGGCTAGTCTATGGCACTTAAGTAGTCCTCTTGCCTCAACCTCCCGAATAGCTGAGACTACAAGCACAAGTCTCTGCACCTGGCCACTTTGCTTAATTTTGACATTTGTTCTCTAGTCTGTGTTTTTTGTTTTTGTATTCATTTTACAAAAGAAAGTGCCTTTTTTTGAGACAGTCTTAAGCTGTCTCCCTGGGTAGAGTGCCATGGCATTATAGCTCACGGCAATCTCCAACTCCTGGGCTTAAGCGATTCTCTTACCTCAGCTTCCCAAGTAGCTGGGATTTACAGGCGCCTGCCACAATGCCTGGCTATTTCTTGGTTGTAATTGTCATTGTTGTTTGACAGGCTGGGGCTGGATTCGAACCTGCCAGCCCTGATATATGTGGCTGGCGCCTTAGCTGCTTGAGCTATAGGCACCGAGCCAAAAGTATCTTTTTTAAATTTGGTATGGCTAGAAAATAATAAAACTGATAATAAAAAATAATAAAAAATAAAAATGAAATAAAAATAAATAAATAATAAAAAATAATAAAACTGATCCTTGTAAGGAGTGCAATTGTCTGATTTTATTACTTTCATTGAGTCCGCATTCTGTTTCCAAAATATCCCGCAAATAATATATCCTCTTCCAGCTGGGCGCCTGTGGCTCAAGCAGCTAAGGCACAGCCACATACACCTGAGCTGTCTGGTTCCAATCTGGCCCGAGCCCGCCAAACAACAATGACAGCCGCAATCAAAAAACAGCCAGGTGTTGTGGCGAGAGCCTGTAGTCCCAGCTACTTGGGAGGTGGAGGCAGGAGAATCGCTTGAGCCCAGAAGTTGGAGGTTGCTATGAGCTGTAATGCCATGGCACTCTACTCAGGGCGATGGCTTGAGGCTCTATCTAAAAAAAA